CTGTGTGACAGCGTGCTCCTCCCAGTCTGACCTTGGACGTATGAATATTTCACAGAGTTACAATCGATCAGTTGTAATGATCTGCCTGGTCAGCTCCTCACTCTCACAATCCACTCCAGCTCCTCGCACAAGAGCTGAGCAAACCCAAAATAATGGCACCAGCAGCTCTGAAAATGCCATGTTAGGGCCACAGAAAGCATCCAGTCACAGCTTGACTTGGCTTCTGGATATAATTCCAATAGGATTTTRCAGGGTGGGTAAAGACAAGTTGGTCCCAACTCCCCCTGTCAAGTTCTGGTCCATTCTTCCCTCGCTTTCACCCACACGCCACCRGTTGGGTTATCCATCACGTACACCAGCCCCCCAGCCTCACGGTGACTTTGAGGCCAAGAGTGGGGTGCTGCTTTCTGTGAGGCCCGTGTGGAAGCATAAGTACAGCTGGCTGATGGGGTCAYCCTCTTCTGAAAGTGGACGACAGAAGTCGGGGTAGCGCATGGATCCATCGTCGGACCCATGTCCTCCGTAGCGTGTTGGAAAATCACGCGAGCTTCCACTGAGGATCTGGAGCCGTGCTGTCCCATGCCGTTTATGATTCCTCGACAAGATCCAAAATTGAAGCAAAACTGTCTCTAGTTTGGCGTTTTTTGTCTTCTCGCTTATATGTCTCTGAGATCAATAGGGTGCAGCCTTCCTGTAAGACTGAAAGGTGACATGTTTTGCTTGTGGGGTCATCAGAGGACCCCAGTGAGAGTCTCAGACATCACATTCAGATCAGGTTTCTGCTATTCTGAGCCTCCCCACCTGCTGCACGCCATCTCTGACCATGAATAGCTTTGTGGAGAGACGAGGAGGAGGGGGGAGGTCGGGCTTGGGCAGCGTGGACGGAGTTGTTTTGCAGGGATGATATGGAGAAGGAGCTATTTCTGAGCCGGTAATATGGACTGTTTCCTCCCTTTGGTCACACCACCTCAGTCTTTGTGACCCTTCAGTGCAGGACAGAATGAATCACAACATGCAGCTTATTGTGGCTCAGAAGGAGAACACAGCTGGTTTGAATTCCCGAAGAGGTGACAATAATGACGTTTACAGCTTCTTTCTGTTCCCATTTGTTGTGCTCACGAGCAAGGCATCTTAGACTCAAATAGAGCTGTCAGCAATATAATTGAAAATAAAACATGGTTTAACATGAAGAAATGTAAAACCTTCAGTTTGGTTTGTCTTTATATTACAGGTATCGAAATAGTTTTATGAAATGTGTTAGAAAGTAATAGGACATATACAGTGCAGACAGTACTGTGCAAAAGTCTTAGTCACCTTTTATTTCTTTATAATTATTATTCTTATTTTTATTTTGATCCATGTTCATAGTTTTTGTTACTGTCTTTAATTCTATTATTATTACTACAACTGATAATGTCACATAGCAATATACAGTTTCTGTGGATGTATCTGCTGCTACTACACCTGAATTTCCCCATGTGGGACAATAAAAGGCTGTTTCTGTTCTATTCTCTTATTCTACCTATATTTTTAAGGAATCAGACTTTATTGTAATCTTATTACTCCCTAGCTTTTCTGAGTTTATGAATACTTCTTAAAGTTTATTTATTTTAACTCAGTGCCTCCAGTCTCAAAGAATTGTTTTTAAATTTTACTATTATAGTTGCTGCTTTCCTACATTTTTAAACACACATATGTGGCCAATTGTATCAAAGTGAAGATTAGAGGAAAGTCAAATTTGGTCAAAATGACCAAAGCACCTTTTCAGAATTCTTGCTTTTAAGCTACATTTCAATACCTGAATCATCCTGATATCATTAGTAGTTCCAAAGATTTGTCTTGTTAATCATGATAATATTTTCATACACATACAAGGAAAATATGCTACAGCTCAGAAGGTGCTTCAAAATTTCTACAAGAATTATGTTTCAAATTTCATTCATTCACCCTTGTCTTTCAGTGATGAGTGATACTTTTCATACTTTTCCCACTTAACTCATCCGTCATTAATCACGGACCAGTTCTCACAGTAAAAACTGCATTTTTATTGTAAACTTCTGCTGATTTACAGAAGGACTGAATCCAAACATACAATAAGTTGATTTGGCATTCTGCCAGAGACATCCCAAAACTCAAGAATAAATAAGGCATTAGGTAAACTGTTACATAATTCCAAACAAAATGTCATCGTTGCTCGGAGCCGACGAGGAGTCTCGACACACAGTGGTAGAGGAGCTGAGAGATCAGTAGTAAATCAAAGCGTGGTTTTACTGGAACTTTCTCTGATTTGCAGCTGTGGCCCATGATGTCAGTCGTATTGCTTCACGAGCAGATCAGATTTCTGAGCACAAGCATTCTGCAGAGTGGAGTCCATGATGAGTCATCCTTCCGACTTGTGTACTTTCCAGGTCAGAGCCTTCAGTGTCCTGTGACAAACATTGTAAATCCTTTCCTCTTTAACACGGAGAACTAAAAACACATGCCTCGCTACTGATGGAGGAAAAACACAAACTTTGAGGGAACAGCTCAGATTAGCTCCATAAAATTAAACAGAGGTGCATTTCAGGATTTAAATCAGGCATGAAAACCATCTTGCATTACTTGCAATGTATTATTGGTTGATATGTAATATGTGTATGTTTGAATGAGCATTTTTGTGTTCTTTCAGTAGCTTGTCTCGGTAGACTTGGCTTTTTAACCTTAAAAATTCAGTTTGAGTATCACCCCTTTCTGCATACTTGAAATGTGGCTTTAAAAAGTAAGTTTTAGCTAAAAAAAAGAGGCAAAATAAAAAGTTGTTTCATGATGAGTGATTTAAGAAACAAATTCACAAAAAACCCTCAAACCCACGATGTATGGAAAAAAAAAAAACATTCAGAGAGAAACCCATTTGCGCTGATGACTCCTAATGCAGTTTATCTGTCAGTTCCAGGAACATTAGCTACAGCCACATTAACGAGAACCAATCGTTCAAATGCTCGCAAATCGACAGCCATTTCATAAATGGAATCTTTTTTTTTTTGCATTTTAGATTAGAATAACACTGAGCTACTTTAACTCATGCCATAAAGCGATAATGTTTTTGTCTGTGTGTTTGTAACTTTTGTAACATATCTCATGAATCACATGATGGATTTTAATGAAACTAACATGTAATCACTGGATGTATGTCTACAACTCATTAACTTTAGTAATCACCCCAATTCAAGATGGCCGCCACCACAAAAAAAAAAAATCCACCAACTTTAAATGGCTGTAGCTCAGTCAGTTTTACAGATATTGAGCTAAAATTTGATGTGGTCGTAGCTGAGCATCATATACTCAGAACAGTATACACTTTGTAATTTATGTTTGCCAGAAACACTGTCTGTTAGCAAAATCTCTCTTCAACCACTTGGCAGATTTATCCGAAACTTTCAGTAAATAAATATTAGCTGTACAGATACAACAGGTTAACCTATTTATTACAAGTGGCAGAGCTTAACTCTTCTGGGTCACAGGTCAACTAAGAAAACGCTGAGGTTGCTATGAAAACGCCATTGGAATTGCGCAAAATCAACAAGCTCTAAAAGCAGATTCATAGCTTAGATATTTCTGAAACGAGTTTGTCAAAGAGTAAATTTACTGGTTGAATAAGTTCAATTTCAATAGTGTTTCCAGATAAAGGTGTGAGTCAACGCACTTTGTAACATTTTTTAACTACAAAACGATTTATTGAAGATGGTTTCCATATTTAATCAAACAGTATAAACAAAAAGAGCTGCAGTTAAGGGAYTTTACAGATATTGAGCTACAAGTTGGTGTGTTAGTAGATTACTTTAATCTAAAACTACCATTAAAGGCATGCATTTTTTAAAAGAATGCTAGACCTTTAATTACATTATAT